CCCTGCCCGCGACCCTCCCCACGTGGCGCGGGTCTCGGGCAGCGCGTCTCGGTCCGATCCACACGAGTGGAGTCGAGAAGCGGGGTGGGGGCGCGGCCCCGCCACCTGCGGGCCCCTCTAGGCGCGAGCCGGCTCTTCGCTCTCTGCGGTCCCGGCTCCGGCGACAGCCGCCTGGCGCGCCGAGCGGGGCCGGAGGGGACGGCGCGGGCAGCCTTGGAAGGCTGGTGGAGAGAAGCCCGGCGGACCGGCTTGCCCCTTCCGCAGCCCCAAGGCACCCGCGGCCGGAAGCCTGGGCCGGCTCGGAACGCACGGGGCTAGGGGTTAGGCAGCCACCCCTGAGCGGCCTTGCCAGCCAGCTCCCAGTGGATCCCACCTCAAAGGAAATTCACGTCTTTAGTTACCCAGTTCACTCTATACGGGTTAGGTAAAGAGGGGTAGCTAGACAATTGTCTGGAAATTTTTTGGAGAATGTTAAGACCCTTAAAAACAGTTGCTCTCTTCCGTGAAGGTTGCTACCCAGTTTTCTCCGGCCTAAATTTCGGGTGATTGTGGGGCCTGGCGTTGCTGCTGGGGCTGCTGCCTTCCAATTGGCCTGTATTTGTTTTAAGGGCCCAGAGAGAAGGGGAACAAGTTTTGCGATGCAACCGATTTGACCAGCAGACAAAAGAGGGTGCCGGGCTGTGTCTAATGTACACACGGAGACACCAGCTCTGCGTCCACACAGCCAAGGGGAACTCAAGGCCTGTTTGCAGAGCCTTCTCGCGGTTTCTGTTTCCCTGCCGCGGCTGTCCTCCCTGGGGATCCTGGGGCCTGTGCTCAGCTTCAGCTCTGTAGGTCTTCTCCAGGCTCTCCTTACTGTCCCCTGAGGACGGTGCCCCAGCCTCTGGCCCAGTCCAGTGCAGCAAGGGTGTTGGCAGTGGCCAGGCTTCAGCCCCAGAAGCCAGCATTCTGCAGCACCCACCAGCCTGCAAAAGTAGGGGTGGCAGGTCTGACCAGGAGGGCTGGCTCCATGGCATCTGTGTTTTGCCGACTGCCTGCAGGGAGTTGCCTATGAGGCAAAGCCGTAGGAAGGGCAGGTGGGAGCCAAGCCTCATGCTGTCCTCCGGGGCCCCAGTGGTTGGCAATGCTGTGCTCTCAGGACAGGGCCGGCCCAGGCTGGCGGCCCATCCAGGAGCTGCAGAATGTCCTTTTAAGAGCCTGGATGGGTCATAGAGTCGGAGTCTGGGGGAGGGGAGAGTTAGGGGACATGAGAGCATAAGCCAAGTTCTCCCAGAGTAGCTGCATCCCGTCCGGGGTGTAACAGTGGTGGTGGTGGGGGGGGGACTTGTATCCCTGAGGAAGATGGGGGGACTCCAGCAATGGGCTGGAGACAGAGCCTAAAAATTGGGTCTGTGGGCTCTGAGGCCTCAGCCTCACTGGAAGGATTGGGGAGCAGCCCCATAGACCCAGCCGAAAGGGCAACTGGGACTCTTGGGAACCACATAAGAGTGCCCCGGTTTCATTTTGTTCGAGCCGGGAGTTTACATCGGTTGCTTAGATGGAGCTGGGGGAAGCTCTGTGGAGGGCTGAGAATGTCTGGAACCGCATCTTGGGAGTCTTACTGATCCGGTGCTGCTGGCTGAGGCTAGCTTTGGACTGGACAGCCAAGAATTAGCAAATGCTAGGCTGGTTCTACGCAGGCAAATGTGGCAGACGCCGTAGACCAATGTTGGGGGGTGGAGGCTTAGCTGTAGTGTTTAGTGAGCCATTTTGGGGTTTTGAAAAAGGGAGCAGGGGGCTACTCTGCCCTTCCACTTGCCCTTGGCTGGGCAGGGGCCTAGTTGGGTTAGAGTAGCTGACTGAGAGGAGAGGAGTTGGAGGGGCCAGGCCGATGAATGCAGCCGCCGGCAGGAAGCCGCCTGTCCTGGGTTGGTCAAGGTGGGGCAGCCCTGCCCTCCCCCACCTGAGGTGACTGGAGGCCTCGCTGCCCCCAGGCGCATGTTCCCCACATTTCAAGTGAAGCTCTTCGGCATGGACCCCATGGCCGACTACATGCTCCTCATGGACTTCGTTCCAGTGGACGACAAGCGCTACCGGTGAGCGCCCAGCAGGATCAGGGAGGGTGCCCTGGGAAGTGGCTGGTCCCTGCTTGGTGATGCCTCGGAGGGCGGCCCACAAGGACATTAGTGCCCGGGAGTCCCAGGCACCTGCGCCGCCAGCCCCACTGTCCCCCATGACCTGCTCCCTCCCCAACCCGGTCAGACCCCAGACCCACACACCCCACCCCCAGCAGTACTCCCCTCAGGAGTCACACAGGCTGGGCCCCTCCACCAGCTCTAGGCCCGAGACAGCTCCCACGCCCCTGGGCCAGATTGCCTGAGGCAGGCAGGCCCCTTGCACACAGCCCCTGCCTTTTCTTCATGTCTCCTTCTCCCACGAGGTGAGCGTGGGCACCTTGTCCCCTTCCCCCATCCCCCGGGAACGCTGGGCCCCGGAGCCGAGCAGGAAAGGTGGGGTGGCCGGGAGAGATTATGCTGGGCGGGCCTCAGCTGCCCGGACAATTAACAGCAATTAATAAAGAGAGCGTGGTCCGCCCTGCGCCTGAGGCTGCCGGCGCAGCCAAATCCGGGCTCCCGCCGCGCAGGCGACACCGGAGGCGGCGGTGGGGAGGCCCGGAGCAGGCAGACCCGCGTGCAGCGAATTGTGGCGCCCGGAGCCCAGCCTCCTCCCTTGGTGCCCGGCTTCCTGCTGTCTTGTGTATTGGGACTGGGGGGGAGTTTTGTTTTCTTCACAATTCCCCTTGGAAAAGCTCCCGGTCTGTGTGGTAGCCGAAGGCTTGAGTTCACCGATGATAGGAAAACTCATGAGAGGCACTTTGGGGGTTCACTGGGCAAGGCCCTCTCTGTTCACCCTACGTGGCATGACCCCTGTTCTGGTGTTGCCCCAGGTATGCCTTCCACAGCTCCTCCTGGCTAGTAGCCGGGAAAGCAGACCCTGCCACACCAGGCCGTGTACACTACCACCCTGACTCGCCTGCCAAGGGTGCACAGTGGATGAAGCAAATTGTGTCCTTCGACAAGCTCAAGCTGACCAACAACCTGCTGGACGACAACGGCCATGTGAGCAATCCTCCCACCTCCCCAGGCTACCCTGGGCAGGCCCTCTGGAGTCCCTGTTGACCAGAGCCAGAGGCCGAGCTTGGGCTGTGAATGAGGGCCAGGCTGAGGAGAGGGGGCCCCTCCAGTCAGGGGCTCAGGGCCTGGTGGCTCTCAGGCCTGGGAGAGGCTGTCACCTTGTTTCCCTTGCTCTATTCCTGATCTTTTGCTGGAGTCTTTTTTTTTTTTTTAACTGGAAAGGATGGTGTGTGGGGGTAGCCGCAGGAGGCTTTGTAGGATCCAGGCGGCTGATGCCGCTTTCCTGCTGGGCTGAGCTCTGGCCTGCAGCCGCCTACCACTGCCTGCTGTAGGCCTGAAGTAGTTCTGAAGGACCTATGGGAAGAGAATCCAAACTCTGATCTTTTGCCATTTGGGGTATCTTTCCTGGTGGTCCCCAGTTGACTGCAGTCTCCACTTGAGCCCCATGGCTGAACCTCATTTCAGGAATTAAGGGTTTCGTCCAAGTTCTCTGGGAAATTCACTGCTTATCTGGACCTTCTCCCATTTCCTAGTTCCAAACTTGCCACCTTGTCTTCCAGATTATTCTCAACTCCATGCACAGATACCAGCCCCGCTTCCATGTTGTCTATGTGGACCCACGCAAAGATAGTGAGAAATATGCTGAGGAGAACTTTAAGACCTTTGTGTTTGAGGAGACTCGCTTCACTGCGGTCACTGCTTACCAGAACCATCGGGTGAGACCCTGGGGGTGCAAATTCAATACTTCTGGGTTGCAATTTGCAATTGCTGCCTGAGGGAAAGAGGTTTGGACCCAAAGACTGCGGGTCCTGGTGGAACACAGCGGCCGATGGAGTCCCACCCTCAAAGGCCTCAAGCAGCCTCCTCCCCTCTGCTGCAGGCCAGCCCAGACTCCTATCAGGTTGACCTTTCCAGCGGCAACTGTCAGTGCGGCCTGAAAGTTTGTTTTCCAAACCATTCCGGAAACTCCCCATCAGGGGCCTGATCCACGGTTTACCCAAATTCCTAGGGCATCCCCTCCCACCCCCCACTGCAGGGTGGGCGGTGGAGGTGACTACATTCCCATCCCAAGCAGGGGCCCTGGGTCTCCATCCCAATCACTTGGGGCCGCAAAGGGGATCCTTAGGGAGAAAGGAAGCTCCCCCTTTGGCAGCAGAAAGGCACAACTCTCAGCAAGGGAGAGTAAATGTGGGAGGGTTATTGTCCCGGAAGAGTAAAAGGGCTCTTATTGGGGGAGCCCCTTCTAACATTAGGCTACCCTGGTGCTCCAGGCCCCAGCGCAGGGGCTCCGGCCACTTGCTCAATGCCCACTCCCCAACCCCCCCTCCTCAGATCACGCAGCTCAAGATAGCCAGCAACCCTTTCGCCAAAGGCTTTCGAGACTGCGACCCGGAGGACTGGTGAGTGTCCTGTAGAAGTGATGGCTACAGTTCAGGAGACTGGCGGGGTGCCCCCCTGACCCGCTGCCCTTCTCCCTCCCGCAGGCCCCGAAACCACCGGCCCGGCGCGCTGCCGCTTATGAGCGCCTTCGCTCGCTCGCGGAACCCGGTGGCCTCCCCCACACAGCCCAACGGGTCAGAGAAAGGTAGGGCCCGGGTCGTGGAATTGGGGCCGCGGCCCTGCGCGCGCTCCGCCCCGGGCAGGCGGCCGAGGCTGGCCTCGCCTGCGCCCCAGGGGCGCTCGCGGCCTTCGCGCCGGTTGCACA